CAGCTCCAGGTTGAACTGTTGTTCAGCATCTTAGCTGTAGAGGGCAGTGTCACTGGCCCTCATATGTGGGATCCGAACCGGGGCCCTCTGGCATCCCAAGCGAGTTCTTAACCATCGCGCCACTCGGCCGGCCCTTACTTATTTTCTTAAAATAGAGTGCGTGGAGTTCAATGTTAATAACTATGTATCCCATGTCACTATATATACATATAACTATGTATCCCATGTCACTATCATTAGTGTCTGCAGAACTATCTTATCACATTTTATTCACTGTATCCCCTATTATTGGGCATTTAGGTTGTTTCCAGGATTTTGCCATTATTATAAACACTATGATAAACAAAGCAGTCGCTTTACCTGTCCAACTCTGGCTGAGCCCTTGGATCCCGGCCTAAACCTCAACTCTTCAGAGAAGCGCTCCCTGATGCCACAGCTTGGGCACCCTGGGCCAAAGCTCCGGGGGCCTCTCCCCAGGGGCCTCATCACAACTGGGTTCCAATGTCAGCTCTCCTGCTAGACTATAAGCTCAGGGGGATGGACCAGGTGTTGCCATTGTTTTCATAGTGCCAAGGATATAATAACAAGAACAGAGAAGCCAACTCTGAGGCAGAGATGAACCTGCAGGCCTTTATTAGGGGGTGCCCTTGGGGTCAACACTTACTAAGGGGAAGAAGCAGAGGGCAGGGAGACAAGCTGGGCTGCCAAGTAGTTTCACTGAGGCTCTGCCCAGATCCCGGGTTGGGACGCCCTTCCATTTGCTCCAAGTTGGGGCATAGGAGCCCGTCCTTTATCCAACCCCCTCATCAAGCAGTAATTGGGTATAGTCCTGGCCTCCTGGGGCATGACTTTGGTGAAGCAGTTCCTCAGCAAAGGGAGAGGACTTGGGGTCGATGGCTGTCTACTGCCAGCCCTGAAGGAGATCTATCTGACAGGCCTCTTCTGCACTCACCCTCATGAGCACTACCTGAAGGACACCTATCATCACCACCCTCTAGGGGATGGCACCTGTGACTATGTCCCTTTTATAGATGAGGAAGATAGGCTTAGAGGCTCAGGAATTGCTGCTGGACTCAGGGTTGGAGCTGAGTCTGCCGCACTCTGATTCTCCATGGCATGCTGCTGAACACTGCAGAGATTGAGCAAGGGCCGGGATAAACACCCAGGACACAGGACCTGTGCACTCTGACTTCCTTTGAGCCATTGAACTGCCATCACTGGGCTGAGGATGTATGTTCCCAAAGCTCCGATTGACTATTATGGATTTGGCTGTTTCTCCTTTCTGTTCTGTCGATCTTGCTTCATGTATTTTGCTCTTGTGCCAGGTGTACATGTAGAAAGATTTTTAAGTCTCCCTGCAAGTTGTCCCTGTTACTATTTGAAACGGCTCCTCTGTTGTGCACAGCACTCCTTGTCTTTTCCACCTTGTCTGATAGTAACAGGACCAGCTTTCTCAGAGTGTGCAGGTATATATTTTTCTATTCTTCTATTCTCAAGCAACCTGTGCCCTCAGCATTAAAGTGATGTCTCTTGTAAACAACATACAGATGAATTTGTGGGAGGTGTGGGGGTCACTTCTTTGTTTTTTCTTTGTGAGTCTGCACACTTCAAAAGGCTTTTGATGCATTTCACCAAATGTGTCCTCCTGGGAGGCCACAGTGTCCCCTCTTCCAGTGGTGGCCAGAGTGAAGGGCCCTCTCCACATCTGCAGTGACACTCGGCTCCCTCCTATGTCCAGTGCACATTGGACATTTCCTCCATGACCTACTCTTGTCCCTACCCCAGCCACCTGCAATGATTCTGCCTATCTGAGGCCATGTCTGCATCGGGCACGGGCAGCAGCAATCATGGGTGGATGAGGTGGCAGTGTGTGTCTGAGGCAGGGCCCCTATCTCCCAGTGGGTAGGAACTGGTACCTCACAGGAGGTCCTGCCCCAGGGCTCAGATTCTGCCTTGGCATCGCTGGGCTCTCCAGCTCGGTAATGATGTTGGAAGTAATGAACTCTAGCCTTCTGCCAAGGGCCACACTCCTCATCTGGGTAGCCGGCCCTGGGGAAAGGGTACAGGATTGGCCCCCTCAGCTGGGTCCCTGGAGCAGGGCAGAACCAAGACTCTGGACATTCCTGGGCCTGGCCCAGAATGCAGCCAGAATCCCTCTTCCAACAGGAGACACAGCATCAGCACTGAGCACTGAAATCTGAGGCTGGTTACTCCCATTCTCTGGGCCACAGTTTCCTCATCTGTAAAGTGGGGCAGTAAGAGCAGTAACCACCCCGTAGGGCTGTGTATGACTAAACGAGTTAGTATTTATGAAGGGTAAAGGAGAGTACCTGGCACGTGGTAAGTATCTGATGGGACTGATTGATGGCTGGGACTATTCCCTGAAAGTTGGCCATCATGTGCCCGTACAAGCTGAAATGCACACAGGTGTGTGCACACACTGCCACTGCCACCATTATTCACACCCACCCAAGCACAGGCACACATGCCTGCCCAGCGCACCCCCAAGGTCATGCCGAAGTGCTTCCTGCTAGCCTGCTTTCGGTCCTGAGTCTCTGCACCACTCCTTCATGCATGGGGCGGTTTTGAGCTGCCTTGCCCTCCGATCCCCGATAGGTTCAGCCAGTGGGAAGCATGATAGAAGGGAGGTTGGAGGGCGGGAGGAGACAGCCCACAGGCAGCACCTTTCACAGTAGCTGTGTCCCCTCAGTGGCTCCAGATCCCCTGAGCAGGGCCTCTGTGGTGCCAGCTCCCACTGGGCAGTCCTGCCTCTTCCCTTTGTCCCTTTAGCCCTGGGGCAATGGAAGCTTCCCACTGTCGCTCATTTCTGGGTTACCATCCCATCCCATTTGCGGTTTCAGTCCTCCATCTCCTTTGTGATCAACTCTGCTTTCAATTGCCTCTGTTTAAATAATCATAGTGCTTTCTGGTTTCCTATTGCACCCTGGATGTCACAGCCAGTATCATCATATTTAATCCCCCACAACTGGGTGGGATGAGTATTAACAATCCCTTTCAATAGTCATCCAGCTGGGACCTAAGCCCAGAAATGTCTGCCTCCCGGTCTGTACCCCACTGGACATACCCCTCACCCATGCAGTGTTCTCTGAGGCCTGACTTCCTATCAGGTATGGCCATGTGGAGGGACTGGAGATGCAGGTCCACACATAAGCAGTCCATGCATAGGTGCACACGCATATGCAGTCTGTACCTGAGCACATGCACACCTCCCCCCCAACACACACACACTGACACTCCAACACAATGGACACGCACACCTTAAGTCCCCAGTAGGGGTGGGATGGAGATCAGGCAAGGGAAGCCCGGTTCTGACTCCAGGGAAGTCAGGGAAATGGGCTGACATCCAAGTAGAGAGAGGCCAGGAGCATTAGTAGGTAGTAAACATGGCTGGTTGCTTGTGCACAAACACAAGTACACATGTACATATGTACATACACACACACACACACACCTATATATGCTGGTGGACAGGTGCATGAAGACCTGCACACACACATAGGTGCCCCCAACTGACTCCTGGGTAGGAGGATGGAGTCTGAGAGTTTTTCCTGTGAGATTTGGAAGTTGGACAAAGCCCCAGACACCAGAGGCTTCTGAGGGAGTCTCAGAAGGGCATCAGCAGTTTCTGGCTGAACAATGGTTCTGATATCACTTAAGTTCTATCAGCCAGGTGACCTGTGACCCCACCAGGATGACCTTGCGGAGGGCCAGCCCCCTCCCTGGGCTGCCCGGCGGACACTGGGAGGAGGCTCAGGCCAGGGCACCCTGACACCTACCCTAGCTGCTCACTTCTGCATGTTTTCTGAACGTCTCCTAGTTTGTTTTGGTAAACTGATCCAGAACTTCTAGAGAGGGCATCTCCCAAAGCTATTTTCTTCTCAGCCAATATGCAGCCTGACTGAATAAAACTGCCTTGTGATACCTGCCCAGACAACTGGACACTGCTAAGGCTTAACCCTCACTTGAGCTTTGGTTGTGAGAATCTGGGGATGAGCAGAGATGTTAGGGTTTCAAAGCCTGAGTCAAGATTGCAGGCTCTTAGCTCCAGGTAGCTTGGGGCTCTTCAAATGAACTTTAGCAGGACATCCAAGGTCACCAGCAGAGCGGTTAGCAGATCAGAAACTCCGTCCCAAATTCCTCTTGCTGCTTCAGCGCTGCGCTAGGCCACAGTGCAGCCTGAGGTGCTCAAGGCGCCTTAGCTGGGGGTCCTGCCAAAGGTCAAGGACAAGCAGGCCAGTGTTTGGACACCAACTGAGCAGAGCACATCTCAAACCCAGCGGTCATCTGCTCCTCTCAATGCCCTGTGTTCCCTCATTTCAGTCCATAGAATCACCAGCACACATGCCAGAATTTGGAAATCATCCTCGATCCTCCCCTCTCCCACTCAAACCGAGTCTTGCTAATTTTAGCCCCTGAGCTGGGCCTAGTCTGTCCCCTGGCCCACCCCACCAACCTCCCGTTTATCATGCCCTCAGGTGTCCTGCCCCAGTTGAGCCTACCCCCCCCCCCAGCATGTGTGGCATCAGAGGAACTGGACAGTGCTGCAGGGTCCCTGCTGGAGACCCCCTAGCACCTCGGCCTGGCATCCACCCCCTTCCCTGCCCGGCCCTCACTTTGGTCTCTGCAAATGCCCAGCTGTCCACAGTCTGTGCTCCCCCAAGCCTGCATCTGGAATCCTAATCTAAAAGTCTCTTGCCTGCCCAGCAGTCATCCACTCAGCTTTTGAATTGGAGCTTAGGCAGAGCCTCTCTCAGGAAGCTGGCGTATTCTCACGGGTCTGTCCCTAGAAAGAACCGCTTTCCCCTCATTTTATCTCATACCTGCTTCTGTGGCTGCAGCAGAATTATGGGTTCCCGCCGTCTCCACTGCTAGGCTAGGTGCTCAGCAAGGTGTGCAGCCTGTCTTGCCAGCCTATGTCACCAGGCCCAGCACAGGGCTACACAGAAGAAGTAGCAGTGATTGTCTGCCAGCCAAGGGAATGACTGAAAACAAAGACAGTTGCTTTATTTGTTTTTGGACAGTAGCACATCCTCCCTTTCTTAAGCACATGGCGGCCCCAAGCACAGGGGCATCTTGGGCACCCGGCAGGAAATGGCTGTGGCCCGGGGGTCTGTGGGCTATGGTCTCATAACTGGTCCTTCTTCAGGGCTCTACGTTACTGCCAGGGCCAAGAATGACGCTGCTTCTCAACCCTACAAAGGAGAATAGGTCAGAGTTCAGTGAGGGCCCTCTTCTGCCGGGAACCCCGCACACCCCCAGACCTCAGCTCCAAGAGGGCCCAGGCTCTTGGGCTGCCCGAGAGTGTGACTGTTTACTGGAGATGGTCCTCTGTGGCTGCTTCTGAGACCCGGGACTGGGACTCTTCACCTCCACGTCCAGTGCCCACTCAACACGTGTCTGCAGGGACCAGCTAACATGGACCTCCCTGCCCCTGTGGATAGACAGGTCTCAGCCCAACTCTCTTCAGCCCCACTGAGGTCCCCCTTCTGCTCTCTCTGACTTTCCTCACACTCAGGCTGTTGCTTGCTGTCTACATCCACACACATGCACAGGGGCTGGAGCTTGCCCAGGCTCTGGGAGGTGCCTCCTGCATAGCTCCTAACCAGGTGGGCCTCTGTCCTGTGCCAAGTTCCTGCTGCCAGAGATGTGGGATCCTTGAATCCCCATCCCTGGCTCTGTCAGGGGCTTTCTGTGGCAGAGGCTGGGAGGGAGCAGCGGAGTGTCTCTGACACTGGCTGCCTCTCACACACAGAGTGCAATCAGAGGGTCTGGCTCTGAGGCCCTTTAGGAGTCAGGTCGAACATTCTTTCCTGAGCGGAGGATGGGTGGGCATGGAAGGAGGGAGGCAGGCCTGGCAGTGCCCCAGAGTCTCTCTCGGGCATGCTGGAGCTACAAAGAGCACACTGGAGTTAAATACAATCTGCCTTCCTTTGTGATCATATCTATGCCTTGGTGCAATGAAGCTACATTGGTGAGCTTGTGTGTTAAAGATGTACTCTGCTGGAGGGAGGGGCTGACAACTGCCACAGACGTGGGGCCTGGATGGAGAGAGGGAGGACAAAGTCGAGGCTCTGCTAGAATGCTAAGGGGGACCCCTTGGTACGTCTTTCACTTGGTAGAAAAAGTTAGGTGTGTGATGATCAGGGGCTTGGAAGGGCCTGTCGATCCTGTCAGGAAAGGTATTCTGTGCAAGCTTTCACAAAGACCTCGGTAGATGTGTAAGGACATGGGAGAGCCGCCTGTTCCACGGCCCACCTGGTGTGGTCCAGCAAGCCGGCTTAGCTCCCAGCTCCTTCCGTCTACAGTTCTACAGCGATGGTTGGCAGTGTCCTTTCTACTTAACTTGAAGTTGAGCAAACAGCTTTCCGTGAGGGCTGTGCCTGGCCCAGGGCAGGTGTGAGCTGGATAGAGCCTAGACCTGGTTGACAGAATGGCGAGGCCAGGCTGTGGGGCGGCAGACAGACTCTGCCAGACCAGGCCTGAGGGCCACTTGGCCTCTAACCTTAGCCTTTCCACTACCAGTACCCACAGCAGCTTGTCTCCTACTTGGGCAAAAGAGACTTTTCCATGGGAAGAAGGCCCCATCCCACGGCTTTTTAGAGAAACACATCAGCCTTCTGGTGAGTCCAAGCCAAGGCGCCCACAGAGTGAAGGACTTGCCTATTCTAGGTGCTAAAGTGCTGTGTCAGGGTTGGGAGGGGCCTGGTCCTGCCTGAAGCCGTGTGCTGCTGGGCCTGGAAGGGGGACGGGACGGTCTAGAAGAGAAATAGGAATTAGGGAAGTGGGGGGGGGGAGCAGGAGTGGCTGGGAGGGTCAGGAAAGGAGGGCACGGCCTTGGGACCACGTCTCGGGGAAGGGCTGCTGCCAGTCTCAGACATCTGGGACAGCAGCAGCCCCGAGGCCTGAGCCCACTCACCAGAAACTGGGCCCTGCATCCCTGCAGACCAGCACAGAAGTAGGGAAGGCAGTGAGGTCCCCTCAGTCCCCTCACCCTCTCAGGCAGGTCACACCCACTCTTCCGCCTCTGGAACCCCAAGGCCCTTCCCCTTCCACAGGGCTATCCCTGCCCTTTCTGACCCCTGCCCTGCACCATGGGCCCTCCTCCATGATCCCATTGCCCTTAACTGGATGGCTGGCCCCTTGAATGTAGGGCCTGACTTTATCCAGTGCTGCTCCCAGACCCGGCCTAGTGGGGCGCAGCATGCACAGGGCCCCCTTTTCCTAGCCCAGATGTCCAAGAACACTGATGGGAACAGTGGGCAGGACGCCTGAACCAGGAGGTGACTGAGGAAATACAGGCCTAAGAGTCCCTCAGTGTGCAAAAGGCAGAGACCTCAAGGTTAGCATGTCTGATGTAGCAGACAAAGACGGCAGAATTTTGTCAGCACTTGCAGTTCCTGCCTCCCACAGCCCCAGCAGCCCAGCACCGGGGTCTTTACCTTGTGGGCAGCACTCACGCAGTGCTGGTAAGCCTTGACCAGGTCCGAGCACAGGAGCACCTCGTGCAGGTGGTCACGGTAGCAGTGTAGGATCTGGGCCTGCAGCCCTGAGCACGCGGGCTCCAGCATTCGGGGCCTGTGGGAGAGAGAGCAGGCAAGCCTGGGGCTTGGTCCCAGTGGGCAGGGACTCAACACCATGGGTCAGGCAGTGGGCTCAGCACTGGCCAGCCATCAGCATCCAGTTATGCCTCAAAGAGAACCAGGGGGTAGAAGGAAGTGGGGTGCTGTGGGGGCTGAGGCTCAACAGCAGAAGACGTGGTGGGGAGAGGGCCTGGGAAGCCAGTTGGAAGACCCCCATACCAATGCTTACTGCATCCCAGGGCAGTTCCCACCTAGGTGTACACCCGATTGTGTCATACACATTGCAGCTACTTTCTCAAACAAAGTTGTTTTTCTGATTTCAAAACTAATACATGCCCAATGAGAAAAACTGGAATACTATACGTGTAGAAACATCTAAAAAAGAAAACTTCAGAATCTCACTTCCTAAAGATAATCACTGCAGTATTTTGGGGGTACTTTATTATGTTTCTTTCTTTGTTTATCAAAGGATGTTTAGAACCTACAAAAATTGAATTTTTGTTTTGCAAAATATGAAACAAAAACAAAAAAGTGAAAAAAGATTAAGTTAAAGTTGGTGACCAGTGTGTCCTTGGGCTCCTCTTTGGTGTGTCTCCTCCTGACTCCTCCCCCATTGCCCCTTGCCCCTCCTCTTTTCTCTCTCTCTCTCCTCCTCCCCCCTACACACACACACACACACACACACACACACACACACACTCATGCTACAATGCTGCCTTTGTGCTAGGCCCCACCCTACTTATCACTCCTAACAGCTCTGTGCAACATACACTATTATTTATTATCTGGTTACAAATCAGGACACTGGGGCACAGAGAGGTTAAGTAACTTGCCCAAGGTCACACGGAGGAAGTGGGCGAGCCATGTATTTTTTTACATCGTTTGGCTTGCACTGTTTCCACAGATTGGTTTTCAGGCCAGGGCCACACAGGAACCTTCACAGCCATAGCTAGAATCAAAACACCCGATGCAGCCTCTAAGCATAAACACCATGTATGGCTCAGGGCATTCAGTGGGAGTTGTAAAAATGCAGAAAACCACTCCCCAAGGTTCTCAGCAATGAAAGGATCACTATATGTTTTATGCAGCTCTGCTCCTGTTGCACGGGGGACTTGTAGGTGAATAATTCTCCCGGCTGAGGATCTCTATATTTTAAAAGTCTATCCATGCAATAGGTGCTGGAACAGAGCAGCACCATTATTATTTTAAAATAACTCAAAGACACCAAGTTCATCAGTTACGAACAGCAAGGAACAGAATACTCATCAGCTTAAGGAAGTAAGACACCCAGGATTTACTGTCTTACTGTAAGTCTGGTGGTAGCACTTCCGGTGCTGCTGTGTCATCAATGATGCCATGGCAGCCTGGGTCCCCCTCCTTCCCCTGAACCATCCCTGCATGGTGGCTGTCATCTCAGGCCTGCTGTCTCACAAACATCAGCTTTCTCGTTTCCCCACTGGCCAGAACTAGGTAATATGCCCACCTCTAAAACCATCACTAATAAGGCGAGTGAAATGAACATGTTTAGCTAAGACCAATAAGACTCAGGCCTAGGACTTGAACAAAAATGAGAGTTTATAAACTAAAGAAGTGGGAGGGATGTGCCACACCACACCACACCAATGCAAAGGTTTGAGACAAAAGGTGAAGGATGTGCCAGGAGAAACAGCCTTCCCATTCCCCGAAAGGAGGGGAGCGGAAGGCCGAGGAAGCTCTGCTGGCCAGGCTCTCCAGGGAAACGGGATTCCATCAGGTTCTGAGGATGTGACCACGGGGACGAGGCTATTCTTGTCCTTGAGGTCACAGTTCTGGTTCGTGTCCACAAAGAACAGATGAGGTGTTAGATTTCCTACTTCTTCTCTTCTCAGGAGATGGATGGGTTCCTCGGATTCAGGGGATCTTCTCATTGGGCTCTACAGAGTCATCTGGGGCAGATCACAACTGGGGTACAGAGGGGTGACCACCCGATTCCTCCAATGCTTGCTTGTAGAATGTCTCTTCATTTTTGTATGTAAAAACTTTGACATGCATGTGTGTAATTGTGGGCCTCTTGAAACGAATTTTTCTTGAGGACAGCCAGCCTTTGGATGGAATTCCTCTCAGGTGAGTTCTCTTTCCAACTCCGCCTACTGCTTCCATTCCAGCTGTTCGGATGTTCTCCCTTGGGAAAGCCGTGAAGTCATAGATCTTTGCTTTCTGCCCTCCATCCCACGGCCTCCCCCTCTTTGTTTAAATCTTGTTTTGGGGAGGCGTGGGTCTCTCCTTTCCCATTTCAGACCTGTCCTTGGCAGGTTGCAGCCTAGGAGGCCATGTCTTTCCGTGGGCTTTCTCCTGGCACCTCTGTTGTCCTTCACACCAGCCCTACTCTGCTCTTGCTCCCCGGGCGCTGCCCCTGCAGCAGGAGTGCTCACGGGCACAGGTTTTACTGCACCCTCCTTTGCACTCCCTTGAAGCAGCACCCCACCGTCAGGAGACCCCCATGAGGGCCTGTCCCTGGCAGTAGCCTGGTAGCTGGCAGGCACAGCAGACCTCCTTGGTTGGGGAAGCACCAGGCTCAGTAGGGGCAGAGCTGTTCTGAGCTGTAGGTCTGTACAAGGCTTACAGGTCTATGTGGAGAGGTGTTCTGGAACAGGACAGGTGGGGTCCACGTGGCCGAGCTGTCCTGGAGCCAGAGCCCTGGCCCTGTGGAGCCTCGCCCTCTCCAAACCTACACAGAGACACTGACCCTCACTCTGCAGGTTATAAATGGGCAGAGCAGTTTCTTCATAACTCGTTCCTCTCCCTCTGTCCCCTCCTCCTTTGGTTCCAGGTCCCTGGACAGGGGCCCCTGTACATTTTGAGGGCAAATCCCATCAAACACCCAGTGGGCTCCCAGATCAGGAGAAACTGGGCCATGTTGAAATCCATCCCCTCCACACTAGCACCACCTCTGGGGCTGCAGAGGCGTCCCTCCTCAGGGATTTATCAGGAACAATATGAAGAGATAGGATGGCAGGCAAATGTCAACTGGAAGAAATTTCACCCTTTTGCCTGCAAAACGGCTCTGAATGAGAGAGGACAGGGAGAGCACAGATTGCCAAATAAAAGGATTTCTCTGAAGGAGGGCAGGGCTAGGACTGGGGTCAAACCACTCAAAAAAGCAGTTGCATTCTATCCAAGCACAGTCCCACCGGCCCTGGTCCATGGTAACCTTGTTTACACTGCATAAGAAACTGCTCAGATTTTTAGAAACATTCAGTCTTGTGAACAGCTGCTCTTCAAATGCACACAAAAAAAATGTATCTATAGCATGCTGTGAACTTTCTAGGGATTGAGATAAGTCCTGTTCCTTCTCCTGTCTGGGGCCATCCACGACTGCGAGCATCCCTGTGTGTACTAACACCTAGTGGTCTTGGTGGCTTTGAAGTGGTGAACGTCTCCCAAATCAGAAGCCTCACATGCATTGCTTAGGATGTCGCTCACCTCCCTGGCCCTTACTTTCTTCATCTGCACAATGGGGACACTGCCTGCCCTGAGGCTGATGAAGACCAGACAGGAGCGTGTATGACAGCGCATGTTGTGAAGTGCCACTCTCACTAACAACCTAGTGGCCAATGTGGGACACGAAGGTGGGGCAGGGGTCAGATGAGCTGGGAGGAGAGCTGAGGAAGGGAGGCCGGGGTTACTGGTGGAACTTGGTAGAGCAGAGCTAAGACAGGAGGCTCTGGGGGCGGAAACCCCAGATGTGGGCTTGACGGTGGGATCCTGTCTGAACATGTCCCTCTCCCTATAACCTAAGCTTCCATATCATTCCAGTTCCAGTTCAGGGCTTGCCAGACCTCATTGGAGCCTCCTTCCCCAGGAACCTTAACGCGCCAATCATGGCATCCCTTCTCCAACGAGTCAGCAGACAACTGAGTGTGGTGCTCTGTGGACCAGCAGGGAGAACACAGATTTTGGGGTCTGACAAACCTGGGGCAAGGCTCTGATTCTGCCACTTTCATTTTGTGGTCAGGGGTCAGATGGTGAGAAGAGCCCCACCATGCAGAGCTGCTCTGGACTTGTCACCAGTGAGGCCTCCGGTCTGGCAGGATCATGGGCACTCAGGAGACGGGCTGAACGCTGCTCTGCCTGAACACAGGGCATCCACACCCTGCCTCACCAACAGCCCTGAGCCTGTGCGTGATGGCCACCGGCGGGCACAGGTGAGCAGAGACCACCTGACTCCAAGCAGTGCCCCGTCCATTCCGACAACAGACCCTGTGGCTGACCAGTCTCTGGGGGCGCGACGCAGATGCTGGGGAGTGAGTGCCACACACAGGTTGCCAGGCTGCACCAATGCCATGATGGTCTCTGGGCATTCAGTATTGTGCACCACTCTCTCCCCAGCAATGCTGCCCATGAACCAGCGTTCTACCTCCTTGGTGGTAATAACATGTTTCATGATGAGAGTAGTGATAAGAACATCAGAAAAAACCAAAGTATTAGGAATAAAACCACACTCCTTCCCGTGCATCCTGTGTGGTCAGGCCCCTGAGGACAGAGGTGAAGAGCTGCCCTTGGACTAAAGTCCAGCTCCTGATCTGAGAAGCAGAGGTCACTCTCACCACCAGGCACCACACACTGGACACCCTTCCACCTCTGGGCTGCCACACCCCACCCCACCCCCTTGGGGCACAAAGGCCCCTTGCTCCTTTCCTTTGCTGCACAGACCCCCAGGATAGCTTATCAATTACTCCTGCAAACCTCTGAACTTCTCAACCAACCTCCAAGCCCTAGGCCCATTTCAACAATTCACCCTCTGGAGCTCAAGACCCCGGTACCCCAACAGGCCCCTGGGGCCTTCCATCCGAGCTTCCCACGTTACACTGACACATCATGTTCTCATAGGAAGTCACCATCTAGCATCAAGGAGCCCACTTCCCCTCTCTAGTTCCTTCTTGGTGAGTGCCATCACTATCCCTCCAGGCAACCACCCCAGCAAGAAACCTGGAGCCCTTCCACATGTCTCTTCCT